GCGGTTGACAGCACTGACTATTCTGTCCCTTAGCCAATTTTCAACTCATCAACTGGGGGGTGTAAAGTCTCTATTAAATGGTCGGGGTTGGAAACCCCGACCATTTCAAAATCCTAATTCGAAATGGTCGGAGTTCCTTACCCCGACCAATTTAAACGTGTGCTAAATTAGTCGGGGTTTCGAACCCCGACTAATTTAGCTGGCAAATTGCCAGTGCCGTCCAAAATAGTCGGGGATGCCAACCCCGACTAATTAGAAGTGCGTAGAAAAAATCGACTCACTTTCTGACCACGGTGCTAACGTGGCCAGAAAGTGGGTCGAGTTCTGTAATAAAAACTGAAGGGGGTCGATTTTTTTTAAAAACGTTTTGTTTGGGGTTATTTTGAAAATTTATTCATTTCTATTGGTTTCCCCCACAAATGTGAGGGCGTTTTTGTTGATATTATATATGTGAGAACATTTCTGTTGCTTTTTTAGATGAGGGGGATTTCATATTTTTACAAAGACGTTAATATATAACTAGTAGTCTCAGTGCACGCGATGCACGCGCGATATAATATACATTTATACAAAAAAATTTAGCAATCTTAATAATTGATGATAGGATAAAAATATGTATGAAAAAATGTTGTCAAAATTTATATAAGTACATTGTAGTTCACAAAACAATAACGCATTATATGTTAAAAATGTTCTGTTGCATGTGATGCGTGCATTACATAGTACACTTAGCGTGTGAATCTATGTTGTTAAAATTTTAGTGATATGTTAATCTAACCGTGTATTAAAAATTATTGTAAGAAAGTGATATAAGTGTGACAATTCTCAAAGTAATCATATCCTAGATATTTTCGAACACTACTAATTTTGCTGCAACATGTGTCCTACTGCCTTTTTTGTATGGACAGATAAAACTATTTATTGAGTATCTATAAATATGTGATTGAATTTGATATGTTTTTTCTGAACATGTCTACAAAGATTAATTACTTCTTAAACGTGCCAGTAAACCGCCTATATGAGTACGTGTTAAAAGGTTAGTCGGTTCTACCACTGCAGGGCCCAATCATAGTCCGACATCTGAGTTTGATCCTGGCTCAGAAGGAATGCTAGCTATATGCTTAACACATGCAAGTCGAACGTTGGCTCAGAATGCACTAATTCTTACAAATTTGTATGTTTCTCTAGTAATCGATGATTTACACTAATCTTACTCATAATTGTGTAAGTCCAAATTTTAGTTTATGAGAAAAAACAAAGAGTGGGGGGATGAAGGAAAGAAGTGAAAGATGACACTTAGCTACTCTGCAATATACGTAATTTATAGGATTAATCATGCAAAGGTCACAAAAATGTCAACAAAACCGTCCAAACGGAAAAGATGATTAAATTGTTAGTTACTTGAATGTGAAGATAAAAAAGCCCTGCAGAAAATGACCTAAGCCTCATGATGCTGTAGAAAATGTTGGAGTTATAATAAAGATAACTTAAAACTTGGGTTTGTAGAGGAAAAGAGGAAAACTTTAGACCCACATTGGAAAAGAGATAGGAAGATAGACTCTTTATAAGCCTTCCCTTTCTCTCCTATACCTAGAAGAAAACAAAGGTTATGCTCCACACCACACGCACGCGCCGGCCGGGCCGGGCTCGGGTTCGGGTCGGGTGGCGCGCGCACACGACCTGCGTACACGAATGCCGCTCCGGATTAATGGGCCATTAATCTGCTACATTTTTATTTTTGAACAATTAACATATGATAAACATTTTGTAACGGTTAGGATTAAATATTTTGTAACTGTTATAATTAAAATACCGCGGATTTATGGATTTAAATGACAAAAAACGGCTAACGTTAATACATTAATGGGTGAGTAATTAAAACGTGTTAATTACGAGATTATGAGTAACAACTGTTTTTCCCTATAAAAGGATCTAAAATCCGAAGAGTTTTACACAGCGAAATACAACAAGCTCTTCTTCTCCTTCTCTGTTCTTGAATTTACTTACTGTTATGATTTGCTGGTTCCCTGAAAGTGGTGAAGAATTCGCAAAACCTTCTTGAAGCTCGTGTCGATGAGAAGGAGGTTGCCTGACCGAGGGTCGTCGTATCTCCGAGATCTATTGCCGCGTAGCCCTGTACGAGAGGGGGCAATTAGTTTCTTGGGACAGTGCTTTGCACGCTTCGATCATCAGGCCGTATTTCTAACTCTGTTTCTTTTTCATTTGATTTATATATGTGTTATAATAGTGATTATCTGTTAATTATTAAATTGCTTAAACTGATTTTCGTTATTGTCTAAACAGCTAATATTCCCAACAATCCAAGAAACTAATTTTGCTGTTTAGAATAGTATCATGATTAGCATTCTGATTTTCATGTTAATGATGTCTGCAATACTTAAAAACGAAATGTTACACTGCATGATAATTCTGTTGAATGAAT